GCTGAGGATGAAGAGGGACCATCAAGGGATGCTGCCCCGGCTCAGCCCTGCCGTGTCTTCCAGAGCACGCTGGGGAGCATGGTCAGCATTTACAGTGAGGCCGGCGACTTCGGCAACGTCGCAGTCACCGGGGGAATCTCCTTCTCCCTGAGCTACGAGCAGAAGACACAGACCTTGTTCATTCACGTGAAGGAATGTCGCCAGCTGGCCTACGGGGATGAGGGCAAGAAGCGCTCCAACCCGTGAGAGCCGGGGGGGGATGATGGCTGGTGGCACTGCTGGTGGTGCTCAGCTGGGTTGTGGGGTGCCCACCAGAGATGGGAGCTGTAAGTGGGGGGGTCTTAGTAAGGCAGGAGGTCTGGGGTTGCCCTGGGGGTCTCGGGGGCTAGTTGTGGGGAGAGCTTGGTGAAGTGCTGCCTGCTCCTTCCTTCAGGTACGTGAAGACCTACCTCCTGCCCGACAAATCCCGGCAAGGGAAACGCAAGACGAGCATCAAACGCAACACCATCAACCCCCTGTACAACGAGCTGCTGAAGGTGAGCGGGGATGGGATGGGGTGCAGCCCTGTCCCCTCTGCGGGGCCGGGCAGGCACTCAGCCCTGGGGATGCTGCTGGAACAAACCAAGGGAGGGCTGGGCTCCAAACCCTGAGGTGGAGGCTCTGCAGAGGAGCCATGTCCAGACGCTGCACCTTGAAAACTGGAAAAACCCCCTCCCAGGCTGGGTCACTGCTCTGATGTGGCTGTGGTGTCAAGCCCCAGGTGCCATGGTGGGGTGGAGGCACAGCTGCAGATGTGCATGTGTGTCGCCAGCCGAGTTCCTAGCATCCCGCAGAGCTGAGGCCTTCTGCTTACTCTGGACATTGCTTTCCATGGAGAAGGCTCCTGGGCCCTTGCAGGCAGGTTACAGTGGTGGGAGGGAGAGCAGCAGGGCTGCAGAGGCAGAGATAAGGCAGTTCTGGGCCCCAGGGCAGAAGCACTTGGCGCTGCCCTTCACCATCCCTGCTGTGGCTGCTGTGGAGTGGTGGGACTGGCTGGCTCCATCCCTGAGCCTGGCACCGTGTTGCTCAGGCCAGGCTCTCTCTGGATGGGAGGAAAGTGGGAACTGTGGTTTGGTTTCCAGGCTCTCACAGCCTCGGGTTTGCTGAGGTCTTGCGCTCTGACCATCTGAGGCTTGGAGGGCTGGCAGAGCTTCACTTGTGGTGGGGTGGGGTGGGATGGCTGGATGCCATGAGTCCTGGTCCTGCACCACTGCCCCAGGACTTTGAGGTTTCAGCAGGCTTGGAAAGGAAGACGAACAGTCTCCTGCATGCATCCATTGCTCCTCAAACCTGTCTCCTCTCCTGCTCAAGAGCTGTGGCTGATGGTGTATGCCAAGCCTGTCCCCTGCCTGGCACTGTCTGCTCACCGGTGGTTTTCCTGTCTCTCTTCCCAGTACGAGATTAACAAGTCCCTCCTGCTTGCAAGGACACTGCAGTTCTCGGTCTGGCACCACGATCGCTTTGGCCGCAACACGTTCCTGGGGGAGGTGGAGGTACCACTGGACACCTGGAACTTCGAGAGTCACCTGGAGGAGTTTCTGCCCCTGCATGGCAAGGTGCTGGCCCTGCCACCCCAGCCCTGCTGCCCACAGCCTCCCTTGCCTGGCCCTGTCCGGGGGGGTTAGCCCTCAGTGGGCAGAGAGGTGCAGAGACCTCAGCTGAGGGCTGCCAAAAGGCTTGTGCCAAATCAAGTCTTTGGAGAAATGAAGACCCCAGAAGCAGACAGCAGTACTGTCGTAGTAAAAAAGGGCAGATCTTCTGCCTTGAGCCTAGCTTCCCTCCTCCTCCTCAGTAAGTCCCCTATGTGATGCTGTGGAACTTGTCTTTGCCCCATCAGGTATTTTCATTCTGCTTGCTTGATTGCTCCAAGAGCACAGCTGTTCCCGGCTCCCTGCCCCAGCTGGGAGGAATTGGAACCAACTTTAGGGAAACAAATGGGGGAAAATGGCTGGGACATCCTGCTGCGGGTTGCAGAGCTGGGCAGTGGTGAGGGCCTTCGTGCAGCTCGATGGCAGCAGCAGATGCTGCTGCTGGACTTAAGTCTGGTTCTCTAGACTAACTTGTACTGTGGGCTCAGCCCTCGGCCTTGCTGGGACTCGAACAGCTTGTGGAACCCCCTAAATAGGGTTTCCTAAGGGAGGTGACTGAGCCAAAGTAGGAACTCAAAGGAACTGGTCTGAGTCTGACCTGGTGATGCTGGGGAGGGTCTGCAGGCATTTGTGCTGGCTAAACCACCTCTAGGAGAAACCAAGCCCTTGGGGAGATGCTGCGTGCAGAGCAGGCCATCACCACATCTGCTTTGGCCTCTCTAGCAATGCTCGATAAGTCTTGCCTCTTTGCAGATTGGGGCAGACGCTGCTGGTCTCCACCAGTACAAGGGGGAGCTGGTTGTCTCCATGAAGTACATCCCATCTTCCAAGCACCCAGGGGCCGGGAATGGTAGGAAGGGTGAGTGCTGGAACTCCAGGATCTCTGTGTAGCCTGCAGGACCTGCTCATGGCCAGGCGAGCTGGGTCTGGGTGGGTTTCTTGGGTGGTGCTACTGAAGCCTTCTCCTCTGCAATGCCTGCAAGGTTGCTCTGCAGCAGGGCACAGCTGGCTGTCCTCAGGCTGGCCGAGCGGTCCCAGTGCTTTCCTGGGGCTGGACCATCGGGCCCCGCATGAAGAAATTGTCTGCCTTCATGTCAGCAGGCAGGGCCAGTAAGGGAGGAGGCAAGAGGAGACAGTAGGATCTTTTCTTGCCTCTGCAATGAAAGCTGTTACAGAAGTCTGCAGTGGTGGAAATTAAGGTTGATTAATTCTTGCTGTGTTGGATTTTTTCCAGGCAAAACGGGGGAAGGTGGTGAGCTCCAGGTCTGGATCAAAGAAGCCAAGAACCTCACGGCTGCCAAATCTGGGGGGACCTCAGACAGCTTTGTCAAGGGGTGAGTGTGGGTCCCAGGTGACGGGGCAATGAAGGCACTGTCCTCCCTGGATGCATCCCAGGGCACTTCCCAGAGCTGCTGCGGGGACCTGGGGGAGGGAAGGGTCTCTGCGCTAGCTGCCCGCACTGCCTGCATTGGTACCCTGAAAGTCACTGTCTGCCCAGAGACAAGACGCTCCTGGTAGCAAATGCTCTCCTGGGTTTTGGGTGGTTGAAAGGTCATGGTGGGATGCTGTGTGCAAGTCAGGGCTCCAGCTGCCCTCAGATCATCTTCCCAGAGGTTACCGAGCCACCAGGCTACATGGCTGGGGGGGAGCAGGCTCCGGTCCTTGCCCTCTCCCCTCCTTAGACCGCTTGCAATGCACTGTGCGGCTTTTCAGGAGGCAGGGCAGAGACCCAGCCCCTTGCAGATTGTCATGGTCCTTCTTCCCAAGCCGTATCAGGGAAGGTGGGCTCCAGGCGAGGTCCTGGGGTGCTGAGGTGCCCCAGCCCCTGGGGCAGAAGGCAGTTGCATACGTGCTGCTAACCCAAAGGGTTGCTTCCCCCAGCTACCTCCTGCCACACAAAAACAAAGCCTCCAAGAGGAAGACACCTGTGGTGAAGAAGACCCTGAACCCTCATTACAACCACACCTTTGTCTACAATGGCATCAGCCCCGAGGACCTGCAGCACATCTGCCTGGAGCTGACGGTCTGGGACCGAGAGCCACTGTCCAGCAATGACTTCCTTGGGGGTGTCCGTCTGGGAGTGGGCAACGGTGAGGAGCCCTGGGGTCCCATCAAACCCTGGGGACAAGCAGCCTTGCTTGGGGATGCCTTGCTGTGGGCAGGAGGCTACTCTGGCAGTGACTTCTGCCCATGTCCATCCTTTCTCCTAGGTATGAGCAACGGGCAGGCTGTGGACTGGATGGACTCCACGGGTGAAGAGCTGAACCTGTGGCAGAAGATGTGCCAGTACCCAGGTTCGTGGGCAGAGGGGACGCTCCAGCTCCGCTCCACCATGGCCAAGCTGAGGCCGTAGCCTGCGGCCCCGGGTCACGGCCGAGGGCTGGCACTAAGCCACACTCGCTACACGGCCTGGCAGGGCTGCCAAACGTGAGTTGGTTGGGGGTTTTTTTTTTTTGCTTATACTTTAATAAACATGACCTTCTCTAAACAGGCTTGGGCAGAAAATCTTCTTGGCCTAGCTTCCTTTAAAGGGTTTTCCTTTTGTCTTAGGCTTTGCACCAAATTTGAGGCTGAACTGGAGTCCTTGTGGACCCTCCCTTCTTCCCCCCCCCTCAGGCTTTGAAATGTGGTTGGGTTTTTTTCCTTCTTTCCATTCTTCTTCCTTCCACCTCCTCTGTTTCAGAGTCTGCTCTCTCCTTGTCTTCTCCACCCTCCTCCCGCAGC